CTTGCCTTCACCTTCCTTCCCTCCTCCTCTTTTCACCTCGGGTCAGCTCTGTGCTGAGTTTAACAGCCCTCCGGTTTCCCCTCTCCAGATTCCCTTACTTCCCCTAAGCCCTTGCGCATCAACTCTAATGCTTGACGTTACAGCCTCAATCCATAAGCAAGTTTCAACAGCAGCATCATTTTCAAATTTCTGATTCATGAATATTACCACTGAAATGTCAATATATTTTAAAACATTTGTAAGTGTTTAACACAAGGCTTCCACTTATCTTTATTGTTTATATATGACCACCTCTGCACTTTTACATGCTATGATGAGACATGTTAGAACATGTGCATGTCTGACAGCTAATAAAGTGTGGAGCACTTTTCCTTTAGTAAAAATGCTAGAGATACCAAAGGCTTGGATTATATAGTTGTTTTTACTTCTTTGGAAAATGTATTCCAAAGTAAAAAGAATTATCTATCATAGAATCCTTAAAAAAGTATTCATCATCTAGCATCTCTTGCCCATGATGCATCAATGCTATCACTACAGTTAAGTCTTATAAGTTATGATGCTTGTAGAAAACTTCGTATTTAATCTCAATGAATTATGTACTGAAAAATGCTTCATATACTCAATTGTATATTATGATATTTTACCACAAAAATACTAAAGAGAAAATAACTGTTTTAATGAGCATCAAGAAATTGCAAGATTTAAATGTTCACTACAAAATAGAAGAGGTTGACAGAAGCACAACATACAGCCAGTAAATTATCAGTATCTAAAAAATGTACTAAATCGGGTTTTTAGAAACCTCGAAGTAGTAAAATAAAGGATTTAGATATATTTTAAGTGAGCAAGCTCAGAGACTGAAGATGCTACAGATTACCATCAAAGTATCAAAGATACTGATTTCACCCCTCTAGAAAACAAGCTTCCTTGTATCGCCCCTTATTCAGACTTGACCTGTAACAGAATTCCTCCTCCTCTCTGGATTCAGAAACTATGGAAAACATGCTTTCCCTTTAGAAAGTAATGCAGGGAAAATATTCTTATACCAGGTAAACCAAAATTAATGAAGGTTCTATTTCATTCATTCTACATTCAACCTTGGAAGATAAAGACAATGTTCACCTCCAGAGCAAAGGGTCCTGGCCCACCACAATAAAGATAATGCCACCCTTTGCAAAGGGTAGGCACATTTAGTTTATTACAAGAAACTCGGGTTTTAGAAGCTTTAAGTTCCTATCCTATAGCACAGTCTGCCATCTGTAGGTCAGTCTTTCTATGGAGTGCATGAATGACACAGACAAAAAAAACCGGATTAAATTGTCTTCAGACTGCCTTCCGAAATGAAACATTAGGTTCAACAATTTTTGGAACTAAGAATCATGAAGTTTATCAGCCAGTTAGAAGGCCATGCTGAAAGCCCTATTTCCCAGTATAGCCCTAACATAATAAAGGCACCAACTTAGGTATTTCAACAAGGATAAACAACACTTTCAAGAGTATCACGAGCACTTTCAAGCCTTTTACATCTTACATGAAAAGCAGATATATCATTCCCCTGAAAAAATATTCTGACTTACACTTTACAGATGATCAGAAGAGATGTTTAAGTGTTTAGGGAAACAGGATGAACACATCGGGCAGGTTTCAGGCAACTATGGCAATCATTTCAAACATAGGTCACCCTTGGTTATTCTAGGGAGCTTCCATGAAGGAACGCTGATACACTACGTTCATTATACAGGCACTTATCCCTGTACGGGGAGTCATACTACTAGAAAAGGTGGGAGGAAATGTGTGAGAAGCCTTCATTAAATACTCCGTGAGGCAACTTGAACATATACCTGTCGGCACATGAGCCAAGTTGCTAAGTTGCCAAGTTGCCGGTTCAAACTTGCAATAATCTTGCCCCAGCCCCTCAGAGTACTGGGATTCCAGGTTTATACCATCACGCTAGCTTTTTGGTTTTGGTCACAAGAGTTTATATCTGGCAGCACCCACAAAAGTGTGGCAAGTTGACATATTAGCTCCCAAGTAGTGGAAAACCTCAGACCATTCCTTCCCGTTCTTTGTATTCCTTGGCACAAATCCAAGGGGACTAGGTGAGGAAAAAGATGCAGCAGGAGGTCACTGCAGGGTAAAAGAAATATGCAGAAAAGAAAGCCAAACATCCACCCAAAAATTCTAGAATTGTCATACTTTGATGCCTTTCTTAACAAAAATAACTACAATTCAATCATCCCCATAACCAACAGCAAGCGTTTCGACAGACTCTTTGGAAACTCGACAGTACTTTTTATATTCTTGCAGACTATGGATCTGACAAGAGACGACACAAAGAAAAAGGAGAAGACAGACCCAAACAAAGAGAGAAAATTACAGTGACAGAAACTGCACACTGGTTAATCAACACATATTCCAGTCTTCTTCAAGGGGACACTAACACCTAGACAGTCACACACATAAGGACAGTACAGTACAGGTTAGATGAGGCAGAAGGTCTCTACGCCCTAGTGTTTCAGATGCTGGCCAGAGCACGTTTAGAATGGTATTTTCATCCGAACAGAACAAGGACATAGTAGCATTTCTTCCCCTGCATCATCCAGGGCTGCATGTTACCCACAGATTCCCTGGGCCTGCCAGGAATTGTGGAAAGCCCTAATACTACTTTATGCATAAACAGTCTAGAGCAGATGGGTTGCCTACATCTGAAAATTCTCATATTTGAGAAAAGAAAATAATGTACACTTATCTAAAGTCTGATATTTATATTTTCTTTGCTGAAAAGTCTAAGTTTAAATTATTTCCGGGACTCATTTTTCATTTTCTTACTATTTCAAAAAAGAGAAAATATGGATTCTATCATAATCATAATCAAACTAATATGTAATTCTTAAAAATGAATCTAAATGATGTTACCATAGTCCCTTCTTAATAAAAACTGGCTTTAATAAATATATCAAGAAGTTTATTATAGTATCTATAAGATATCAAAAAATTACCAACATCACTAACCATCCCTGACAATCTAATTAGTTACTAAGAAAACACTGTATTAGCAAGTAGTATTTAACTGAAATATCTAAAACATGGCAATCTTCAGAGACAAAAGATGGGTGAGTCAGGGAATAGATCTACAAAGAATGGAGGAATTGAAGGCCTCAGCTAAGGAGTGTCTTGGTTATTTCCTTTCGATGTTGAGACAAAATACTTGATACCCAAAGTTAGGGAAGGGAAGGTTTATTTCTTACAGGTTGGAGGTTTCAGTCCATACTCAGTTGGCTCCAAAATGACATGGCTGAGGGGCAGCAGTTTATAGCAGCTACATACAGCAAGCGCAACAGCAAAACAGAAAAAGATAGGCTTTCTTCCCATGGTTACACTGTATGCTGGCTCCACCCCTGGGTGGGTATAGCAGTCATACCACCAATTGGAGTACTAGAGGATGAACCAATCACAGACGCTAGATTTGGCCACATCCATAATTGTATGTGGCTGGGGGGTGGGGGGAGGGAGACCATCTGAACATGAACCATAACAGGGGTGAGGGCCTTCTATTGAGGACAATAAAAATGTTCTAAACTTAGTTGTGACTAATCCTACACATCTGTTACATCTTAATACCTTAATCTTGTGCTGAGTAAGAAGCCTAGGCCAAAAGAAAATGGAAATGATAAAAGCGTCAAATACAAATGGCCCACTAGACAAAAGGGAGAAGAAAAGAGAAGTGGTAAAAAGGAGAGAAAGATAGGGGAGTCAGAAAAAGATACAAGGCAAGAGACAGAAAAAGTAGTAGGCTACAGGGAATGTGTGGTAATGGTTTATGAATTCAAAAACTCCATCTGGCCCCCCAAAAACCTGCAGGTGTCAGATGCAGAGAACACATTGGAGCCACCAACTCCCCAGCCCTTTGAAGCCCAGAATGCGTGAAGAGGGCTCTTCCCACAGCCTCCATGCAATGCCAACCGTATGTTCAGATCTTCCATCCTGGGTCCTGGCCAAAGAAACACCCAGCAGCAGGGCTCCTGACTGACCACTCAAGACACCAGCGTGGGACGCATCTTGAGTTCATCAGTTTCACAGGTACTCACACGCCTCGATTCTCTTCACCTGTCATCTCTTTTAATTCTTATTTTCACTTAATATTTACACATTTTAATATTTAGCTATTCTTTTCCTATTACAGCTAGAAACAATTAAATGACAAGGAATATAGTTTTTTTTTAAATTGAAAATAATAAGTCTTTACGCATAAAAACTTGTACATATAAAACAAATTTACTTCATATCTATGAATGCACTAGTTTCCAGACTTTGCTGCTCATTAGAATCACCAGAGGATTCTTTTTTGAAAGTCCCAAAGGAGAGGTCACAACCAGGCCAAATGAACTTCCAAACACCAAAGGGGGGAAATCTTAGCCAACTTTTTCTTAAAAGACACTCCGTTTTGATCATTCCAATAATCACACCGATAAAAACTGCATGTCTACTTTTTTAAAGCAGAAACAGAGTGAATATTAATTATGCGGCTTAGAAAGTAAAATGACTAAGTCTAAAACATATTTTTTGGGGGGAAACATTTTAAAACATCTATAACCTTTTATTTCACTGTTACTAATGGAAACTCAATGTTTCATTTATGAAAAATTAAACAATGAAAGGTCATAACTTATATAATGGGCAAAACTGCTTTAAAGTTATAATTATGAGGCTTACTGAATAAATAATTCATAGGAATATGTTTATTTTACTGCCAGAAAAGAAACCTAAGGAAGAAAATCTAGCTATTTTACTGCTAGAAAAGAAACTGAAGGAAATAATCCTAGAACTTTGCCAAAATGCATTTATAAGAATGATGATGTAATAATAAATTTTAATTGTACATATTCATGAAAAAGTTATAAAATAAAATGGCATGCAATTTCCAATGTTTACATATAACCCAATCATTGATCACTTACAAAAAATATTATAGCAATAAGAACAAATCTTATAAAACTTACCTGCAGTTGAACTGAATTGTGCCGAAGTCCTTGTACGATAGACGAAAACCTATCGATGTGTCTTTCTTCCCCAGCTGAAGTTAAAGCTTCTAACACTTCTTCAAGGCTATTACAAATTTTGAGTCCATTAGTTAAATTGCAAGTAGCCATAATATATTATTTTTACCCTGCTAAAGGAGTCAAGATGACAATAATATTCTAGAAGAAGCTTACAGAATATATGCCAAATATCAAGCACTGCTATATGTTTTAGCTCATTTATTCCTGACAATACTGTATGAGGGTGCTGGAAAACATACATCACACTTAATCAATAGGCACTATATTAACCATTAAATTTTTTTATTTTTAATTGAAACAAATTGTACATATTTTTAGGGTGCTATGTGATGTCCCAATACATGTATACATTACATAATATTAAAATCAAGGTAAGCATACCTCCTCAAACATTCATAATTTCTTTATGATGCAAACATTTGAAATTCTTAAATTTTTTAAACATATAATACATTGTTGTATCCAAAGTCAGCCTATAGGAATTTCAATGTATATAATAATTATATGAGGTAGCTGCTATTATTTATCCATATTATAGATTTGGAAACTAAGAAAGAAAAAGGTTAAACAACTTATTCAGTCTTGCATCTACTATACAGTGGAGCAAGGATTTGACAGATCATGCAGCAAGCACTAAAATGCTCTTAAGCAATATACTCTAATGCCTCTCAAATTGGAGATGGTGCAGCAGTGAAAATACACAGTAGCAAAGTACTAAGATACAAATGTAAACTGTAATAATTATGCAAACATTAGATTTTCCTTCTCTTCTGAAGAATAGTTGTGGGTCTATTATAAAGGCTTAGTTTTTGGATGAAGGCATGTAGTCGTAAATGTTACATCATTTTGATATAAATTCTAAAGTCACAAAACAATGATACGGAGGAAGAGTGAGGAGGAGAAAACAGTAAAGGGGTAAAATGCTTAAAGAAAGATAAAGGGAAAGATGGATAAGAAAGAGCAAAAAAAAAGGGGAAGGGTGGGAAAAACAAGCATGAGTCAAAGGGAGAGCGAAGGGAAGGGAAGCAGGGGAAGGAGGCACTGGGAGAAAAGGATGGTGGAGGAGGGAAGGAGGAGAGGCTGGAAACACCAGGGACACCAGTGCACATGCACACATACCTGACACAGGTCAGCTCGGAGACCTGCGCAACAACATTCATACGGCCTTTGCTATTAGGAAAGAAAATCCCTAACACCCGATGCCCGACTTCCCTGCCTGAGACTCCAGTTGGGTTAGTTAAAGGCCTTCTCTAGGTCCACTATAGGTGCATGCTGGGGACACAAAGCCAGGCTTGGTGGTGCCTCTGGTGGTGCCTCTGACTGCCACCAGGGTAAGGTCCCACTAAGCCAACTCAAGCCTACCTGCTCCAGCTGGGCCTTTCCAAGGCTATTTTCCAATGAATGTAAGAGGTCCCACCTAGCAGGTGTCTACCGACAGCTGCCTGAGAGTTTTGTTCTGTTGTTTACTCAGTTTTCACAGTCATATCTTTTCTAAGAGACATTTTAAATGCTTCCTTATAATCAGAACCACAATCATTTTATAAAAATTTAAAAATATACGATAGTCTTTAATATGTATAATAGTCCGAGTTATGGTACTAACAAATGTGTTTAAGGTTTTTAAAGCTTCAGTGTGTACTTTATGACCAAAAACTTTGTATATTCAACCACTAAAATACTATTGCATATGTAAATCGCTAAATCTGCCTTACAAATTTTTTTCAAATGGTATTGCTGCATTTTATAAGGAGATACACAACACCCCTGGTTTAATTTAAGCCTATCTGAAAAAATTAGATTAAAAAGAATGCATTCATGTATTTTTCAATTTTCATTTGAAACTTTCATTTTAGGTTTGAATTTAAAATAGCAGTTTAAAATAAATACGAAGAAATCATTTTTTCACAGAAACACTGTATCCCATAACTTACATACCTATTATGACAAATAATTATTAAACATTTCTATTCAGCAGTAAAAACCTAAATCCGCTGCTTAAGAGTATTTCAAATTTATTTAAATTCTAAAGTAGAAATAGATGGCATTAAATAAATCAAATTTTCAAAAATTATTCTTTACCTATAGAAACAATGAAAACACTTACATGCTTTCCTCCCCTACAATGCACACTGCAGAGAGGAGTTTAACCACATCTGTCATCATACTGGGGTGCATAGGATCCATGGCTTTGGCTAATAAGGAAAGACTCCTCTCTTCACTCATAATTCTTTCCAAGCCATACTATCATATTTTGGAAACAGAAATTGAATATTAGCAGTTAGTGGAAAAAAATAACATCCTAGAGGAAATTCAGTTATTCAAAAATTTAGAAGATAACACATTTTTATACCTACTAAAGTCTAAAAATATAGTTTGTAGCACCCTGAAAAATTCACATAAGTATTTATGTCAAAAACTATGGGACTCTATCAAAGTACCCCATAGAGAATCCATGGAATTTTTCATCAGAAACACACAAAACAAACAGCAGATATTAAAAGAGAAGCCATGAGGATCTTTTCCCTGGAAAAGAAAGTTGTTAAGAAAGCTATAAAACCACAAGTAAACAGATCAGTACTATAAAAGAGAAACATAATATAAATTGTCATTGTGTGTAATTATGTTATTTTTTCAATAAAGAGATAAAAACTTATTTTCAAGAAAATTAATTCAATGTACCTAAAACAGTATCATTTCAGTAGGAAACAATGCAAAAACATTTCATTGATGAGATATTTCACTTTTTGCTTCCTAAGAATTAAAATCCAGTTGTGCTTATGTAGCACATTTCAATTCAGACTAAACACATTTCAAAGCCGTATTTGACAAACATATTGCACAGTACAGATCTAGATATTAGCACTTAGTTTATGACTAGGCAAAGGTAAAAGGTATTTGGAAAGATACCAGGTAGAAAATGACATAACGAGTATATGCATTCAAATTAGAATGGTATTTATGTTCAGGAAAACAATGCAGTTGTAATTTCAATTCTTTCTGTGTCTCTTGTGCGCGCGCATGCGCGTGCTAAAATTCCTTGACTTCTTCCAGGAAGCTACATCCAAGGATATGTCACTTGGATTTACTAACAATGTATGGAAATATCAAAATACAAAGGATGACCAGAAGCAATAAACAATACTATTTGCCTCTGATGCATTTCAGGTGACTTTCTGAAGAGGAAAAATTGGTGTCACTCAGCACTAAAAAGGGGCTCCAATTCCAGTTATAAATGTGCAAGATGAAGCTCAAAAGTAGGGGTACATAGAAGAACCAAAGTCAAATCTGTAATATGCTCAGACTCAAATGCTTTCATTATTGTGAAATCTAATTAGTCTAACTGTCCTATCTAATATGCATATGACACTTTTGGTAAAGAAAATGTTTCATTGTGCTGAAGCACTACATATATGTGGAACCAGGAACTTATGACCTCACTTGCCAGGCAGGTGCTGTGCCACTGAGCTATATCCCTAACCCCTGCATTTGTTCTAAATCTCTATCAAATGAACACTGATACAGTGAAGGAAGGCAGGTAAAGGGCCTTGTGCAGGACTGACTTTTCTGTCTCATTGGTTATGGGGGAAGGTGTTACATAGAGATCACCAATCTTGTCAAGAAATGCTCACTTTCATGATGTCCTGGATGTTCCACAGCTGGAACTAGAGAATGAAAAACCAGGCATAAAGTCCAAAGCCAGAATGTGTCTCAGTAATCATTCCAATGAACTGTTAGTAGCTTATTAGGTACTGTTTAAGTGTCCCCTGTATCAGTATTACATGGTTTCTACAGCCATTCAATTCACGTAACCATCTTCTCCAAATTGAACTACCCACCTTATCTGCCAAGCCCTGTGGATCTAAATTATATGGTGTGGGGAATAAAAGAGCATTCTCTGATTTCATGATTTTAACCATCAGAGTTGGTGAACACAAAATCCCACCACAGGGAGGATCCTCTGATTTTGCTCATGTACAAATATGTAATACTCACTTTAAAACTGCAATGAGCCAGGTTAGTACTTCTGAGTATTACTAATCACAGAATTGTTATCTACTTGTATAAGATTACACCTACTTAATTATTTATAAAAGAAGCAACAAATAAAATTGTTAATTTTACTACTACTAAAGAAATAGCTTGAGAAATAGCTTACCAGTACTAGCATTTCAGTGCTTTCAATGAAGGCCATTACAGGTCAGAGAGGTATGAAAAATTTTGGAAGGTTTAACGATGTATCTTTCCTGAATATCAAGGACCCACTCAGAGGAATATGATAACTGGCCCATGCTAACCTAAGAACCAAGGCCAGCTTCTTCCTCTTTATTCTACAAGATGCCTATTGTTACCTAATAGATGGAATTTCCAGCCACTGAAGTTGATAACCAACATGTAAGACTACATTGTAAGAATAATGGTGGTCACAAACTATCATGATTTTATCCTAGTAATAAAGAGAATTTCAGTAACAGGCTGGCTTCAGGAATAAGGCACCCACCCTTGTTGTGGGTCAACACACACAAAAAAGTCAAATGACTAAAACGAATTCTCTGTTTAGCTGTCTTTAAATTTAAATAAATTACCTTTTCATCTTTTTATTTTCTTCCTCCTAAGAATTTAAAATCTTTATCCATTTAAAAACAGTCCAATTTGTTATAAAAACAATCATGTAATGTTACCAAATTTATTCATATTAGTGACAATTATTAGAACCAAATAAGGTTTCACATTTTTTTCTCTGAAACTCTGTATTTTCATTAATCAATAAACTCTCAGAAATATATTAAATAACAAATTTTGTATTTACAGATATAATCAAATAAAGTTTAGGAAAAATATCAACCAGTCTTCAGAGGTGTAGGGAGGAGAGCTTTGATTAAAACTTTCACATGTTAAGCTTAGAATTCAGATATTACTGATCCTAAAACCTAGAATGGGGAACAGTATCATCAGGATGGGTGACAGTATCAAATAAAAAGCCAATATTTTGCAGTTACACAAACTATAATCAGTAAGTCTATTATAAAACAATAAGCTAGATAAGAACATAAAGTCTATTCTTCCTCAAATTCAGTGTCAAACAAGGTAGGAATATTATTATCTATTTATGTTATGGCTCCCCTCTGTTAACGTTCAGAGGTAGGAATGTAGGACGGTGACTGGGTTATGGGGGCTCTGTGTTCATCAGTGGAGTGATCCACTGATGAGTTCACAGTTGTATACACATTTAGGAGTAGGGTCCAATCAGAAGGGACAGAGCATTACTGCCATGCTTTTAAAGGTGCTTTCTTTTCTCTTCCTTCCCCCCCGCTTCTTTCTCTCCTCCTCTCCAGTCTCTCCCTTTCTCTTACCCCTTTGCACCTCGCTTTTTCTTCTCCTTCTCCTCTTTCTCTTCCCTCTCTTCTCCATCCCCGATCTCCACTCGCTCTGACCTCCTGCCCCTCTCTGTTATCTCGCTACCATGAATGCAGTAACTTTTCCCTGCCAGCCCTTTCACTTGCCATTTGTGCACTGGATCCAGCTGACCGTGGACACTAACCATGAGACAAAATAAACTTCCCCGTTTAAGGTGCAGGCAGTGGGTACTCTGTCCCAGTGACAAGAAAGTAACACAGGAAACTGGTGTCTACGGTAGAGTCATTGCTTGATTGTATGGTACCATGTCTTCAGACGCCTACTCAACTATTATCTAGGAGAATTTTAGAAAGATTCAGAGGTGCAACTTGAAGGATTTTAGAATGTTGTAGGCAGAAACTGATAGATCCTGTTGGGAGATTAAAGATTAGAAATCCAGAATATCGACAGAAATGTAAACAGTTTTTAAAAGCTAGACTCATGAGGTTTCAGTTGGGAATGAGGGTTCTATTAGAAACTGAAGGGGAACTCGTGTGTATTACATTTTGACAACAAATTTATGTACAGTCTCCCAATGTTCTAAGACATCGTGGAAGCCTAAATTTAAAGAGGAAAAACAAATTAATCTGGCAAAGGAAATTTCAAAGCAGCTTAATGTTAAAGCTGTGGCATGGGTACTGGTGGTTGATTCCAGTCAGATTTACAGTAAGAATAAGGAACAAAATGCAAAACCAAAAGATGTGAGAAATTGTAGAACATGGTATAAATTTGGGGCCACAAAAAGTATGGTTGCTGAAAATTTTAGAACAAATAGTTAAGTACTTTGCACCTGAACAGCAGGAAAGATTCTTTGAAGAGATATTAGGAACTGGCCAAACTCCACTCATCAAAAGTTTAAGAGTGGGGGCTGGGGATTTAGCTCAGCGGCATAAGCGCCTGCCTTGAAAGCAGGGAGTCATGAGTTCGATCCCTGGTACTGATAAAAAGGAAAAAAAAAAAGACAAAAAAAAAAAAAAAAAAAAAGTTTAAGAGTGCAAAAGAGTAAGCTCTTTTAAGAGACTTTAAAAATAAAGCACCCAGAGCACTTTGCTCACTTGGGAGACCCTAAGGAAATGTATTTCTGATTTTAGCCATTCAGGCACTTGGAGGCCACTGCAACAGTGGTGCAAAGGAGTTTGGATACTGGTTAAACTGGTGGCAAACCTTGGAATAACCCATGTGGTGTTGGCTTTCTAAGCATGCAAACTGCAAGAGTTTTGAGGTCACCAAGGCTTCCATCCAGATTTTAGAAGAAAGTTTAAGAGGACAGGCAAAAATGTGTGACTGAGTCACAGACCCTGCAAGGAGTCCCTCACATTTCGATGCATAAAACTATGAGAGTTAAGCTAAACCTTCAGTAGAGACCTCTTCCTCTCTCACTCTCCTCCCAGTCTCCTCTCTCCTCACCGTTTCCTCTCCTCCCTGTGCTCTCTGCTTCCTGACCATCATGGATTAAGCAACTGTCTTCTACCAGGCCATTCCACCATCCTGTTTTTGCCTTGGAACAAGTCAACCATGGACTAAACCCACTAAAATTGTGAGCCATAATAAACTTCTTTAAGTTGCAGGTTTGGGGCACTTTGTCATAGCAAAAGGAAAGTAACTTATACACCATGGTATTCACCTTAACCAGGGTATACTTAATAAGTTCAAATTACAATCCACACGTCTCTGTGGTCCTCCTCTACTCTTCTCCTTCCCTTCCCCTTTCCTTAATGAAATTTCCAATTTTTATATTCTCACTTAGAAAGATTGTCCTGAAGAATTCTATGAATGCAAGAGAAAAGATCTCTTCCTTATCAGGAGTTTCTGATTATTTTTATTATTTATTACTCTTGAATGATACAAAAAAACCTAGCTAATATGTCTAAAATGTAATTCTTAAAGAATAATGAAATCAGAATGGAAAGAACATGTGATTTTATATCAGATATTTTACTTGAAAATCTTGGTATGTAATTTGAAAGGATAAGGAAAGAAAAATATTTCATTGGTAAAAAATAGACTACTTAGCTACAGAAAATGTTTTAAACTACAGTACATCAATAATTCAGTAACAGAATTATTTAGAAAACATAAATATTTGCTATACTTACTAAAAAGAAATAAACAGCAATTTATACACTAGCACTTAAGTACACAGTCCTGAAGTTTAATACAATAAGGAGAAATATTCAACATTAAAATAAATCAGAAGTACACAGACAAAGTTCATTGTATCATCACAGATAAAATTACTTCCCCTGATGTTCAAGAACAATTAAAATATTGATCATTACTTCACACCTCAATAGTTATATATGCTCAATTTAGAAACAAAGAGGAAGAAGATATTGCTAATTTCAGCAATTAACAGTACATGAGAAAAAAGAAAAAGAAACAGTGAGACAAATACAACTTCAGTAAAGAGCTAAAGGATTTCTCCTTTTTGATGTATGCTCTTTAAATATGAAAAATATGAAATCCTATAAATTTTATACATTATTCTTGTCTCAATATTTCTTGTATTAGAAATTATTGTTCCAACTCTGGAACCCTGCTATGACAATTTACATTAATTTTATTATAGATTTCAAATTCTTAAATAAATTATAAGAACAAATATTTTCAAATTAATAGTTTGGTAACTGCAGACTATATCTAATGTATTCTATATTCTCATTTAGAAAGGTTTTTGTTTTCATTTCGAGACAAATATGTTGGCAAGGCTGACCTCAAGCTCAGCATCCATCTAACCCAATCCCCTGAGTAACCGGGAACAAAGGTGGACTCCACTACATAGAATTTATGTATTATTTGGAAGTTTATTCATAGTGTACTTTTAAAAATTACAACAGAGAAACAGGACAAAATGAGAGGTTAGAAAAAGTGGAAGAGGAACAGTGAAAAGTGGAGGAGAAAGAATACATCTATAGATGGACAGTTAAGCACTACAAGAGGGTCTATTAAATCCCAAGTCTCTCCTTTGCAAGAGTTGGTTTCATTCAAAAGTAGAATCTGATTCAATACTTTTTCCATGACATACATAAAAATGACATTACAAAACTAATTCACTTGAGAGCTGGGATGACACATACTAATAATCACCAGTGTACATACCTGTGTATTCATCAAAGCCTTTAGACACTGAATGACTTTGTGTTGATTCTTCTTTACAACTTTTTCTTGTCTGTATTAACATAAAATTTACTAATATTAGAATTACAATTGAACATACACATGTAGCTTAACTGATTCTTTACAATACTTACATTTTTCCACTAATCAGTTTTTCCAAAATATTTAGTAATAATCCAAGTCCTTCATGTCCAAAACTTTCCACCCAGCTAAAAAAGAAAAGGAAAAAAGACAATTAGACATTAAGCCAGTGTCCTACTTTGAAATATGAGGATAATGCGCAGACTGGCAGGAATTCCATAATTACAACCACAACATAACAGACCAAATACAAAATCACTCATGATATGGATCTTGGTAGTGAGATACAGGAATAAAGACTGGCTAAGCCAACTGAGCGCTAAGTTCAGCTTGCACTGCCTTGCATGAGTTGACTATGTCCAAATTCTCCAAACTCCATATTCAAAGACATAATTTTGTCCTGGGTAACACGAGTACGCAACATAGAAACTGGTGAAAGCGACCAAGTAGAGCTTTATACACCATGCAACTGGCTAAAACATGTTTACCAGCATGACACTGGATAAGCCTGACTTGGAACTATTCTAAAGAGTACAAATTAAACAAGTTGAGCGAAGATATTTAGAGAAATAATGCAGAATGACACAAAATATTAATGAGAAAAGTTAACAACATGAAAAGGGATGTTTTAAGAGAATTTCATATATTAAAATGAATGTCTAGAACTGTTAAGAATTTCCTGAGTTGTGTTAAAAAAAAAAATCTAGATTTATCCACTTTGTTAGTATACGTTTGCAGCACAGAATGACGACACTCCCTGTAGGGGGTTGGTACATGTGTATACACATTTCTGTTCCCATCTTTCTCCCTTTCCCTCCACCTCCATTTACTTTTCTAGAGTGAGATTCATTTTTTTTTATCTTGTAAGACCTTATAATGGTAATTACCATATATACAGATTGAAATACAGAAAAATAAGACAAAGAACACAGGAAATATAAAAGACAATTGTGAGTACAGCACACTTTTAACACTGTGTTACGATATCTTTGTCCTATTTTCCTATATCTGTCTTCTATTTTGTGATATACAGATAGAGATGATATATCTAGATAGATAAATGGTTTTTATATAAGAGAAATCACATGATATTTAAGCTTCTGAGTCTTGAGTTGCTTCACTTAACATTATGGTCTCAAGATCCATCCATTTGCCTACAAGTGACTCAAGTTCATTCTTTTTATGGCAGAATAATACTCAATTTATGTAAATATCACACTTTATCTATTTTTCTGTTGATAGACATATAGGCTGTTTCCAAGATTTAGCTATTGTGACCTGAAATGTTATAAATATGGATATGCATAATCACTATGACATGGTATCTTTAACTCTTTTCAGAAGATCCTTTACCTACAAGGGGGACAGCTAGGTAAAATGGAATTTCTACTTTCAGTTTTTTGAGGAATTTCCATACTAATTTCCATAGTGTGTCTACTAGTTTACACTCCTGCCAACAATGGAAAAGGGTTTCCTTCTTCCCACAGCCTCGCCAGCATTTACTACTGTTGATTTCTTGATAGCAGTCATTCTGTCTGAAGTGAAACAGACTCGCAGTATTGTTTTACTTTATCTTTCTGGAATGGCCAGTGATGTTGAACATGTATTTATTGGCCACTTGCACTTCTTCATCTGAAAAGAACTACATTTATTTCAAATACCCATTTTTATTTGGGCCTTTAATTTTGGGAAAGTTTAATTTTTTTGAGTTTTTGCCACAGTCTAGATACTAGTTTTCTGTTTGAGAAGTAGTGGTCAAAATTTTTCCCATTCTGTAGGTGGCGCTTCACTCTGTTCGTGGTTTCCTTTGCTGTGCAGGAGTGTTTTAATTTAATGTGATGCCATTTGTTGATTCCTGCATTTCCTGTGTAACTGGGGATTTGTTCAGGAAATCTTTGTCTATATCAATGTCTTCAAGAGTTTTATTTATTCAGTCGTCCACCAGGTTAAACATTTCTAACGTTAAAAGCTTTGATCCATTTTGATTTTAAATCATCCATTTCCATTTTGACAATACCTGTTTCATAAAGCTGCTGATACAATTGTGGTGCATAAGTAACAAGAACATCATTAAAGCTAGAAACAGTTTACTGTGAGCACCAAAAAACTACCATAGTAAAAATAAATGTATTATCTGTAGAAATTTGGAAACCTTGGCACATTTTTTAAAAAAAGTTATAATCTGCCTCTAAAAAATAGAGAAAACAAAAGGAAATAGTAGAACATGTATGTGCATATTTCTTTGAAAACATGTATTTGTATGTGTGTGTAGTGCTTGAAGAGAAAGACTAAGGACAAAATTTCATCAAAAAATCAAGAGAAAATCATAAAGAATAAAAACATTAAAGTCACATACCATTTCAATAGCATTTTCTTAACATATAATACTGCTGATAAAAAAAATAAGAAAAGCTAGAGTAGTCAAAATAATGTGATAATAACTTTAAAACAAATACACCAGTGAAAAAGAATGGAGATTCTAGAAGTAAGTCCGCATGTCAAGAACCAATTTTTAGCAAAGTTTCTAACAACACACAATGGAAAAGGGGATAATTTTTTCAATAAACAGTGTTGGAGAAATGTGGTATCCTTATGCAGAAGAATGAAATTGGACTCCCACCTCTCACCAGTAGCAACAATCAACTCTAAGTGGAATAAAGATTTTAAAATAGTACTGGAACTATGCAGCTACTTAAAAAAAAAGCACAGAGGACATACTGCAGGATATTGAAATGAGCGTGAACTTTCAATGACATATCAAAAGCAGAAAAATAAAAGCAAAAACAAACTAAAAGGCATCTGCACAGTAAAGAAAGAATTATCACAGCATGAGATAATCTAACAAATGAAACAAAGTATTTGAAAACTATACATCTGGCAAGGAGTAATATCCAGGATATACCTGGAACTCTGCAAACTCAATAGCAAAATATGACCAACTAAACATCAGGCAACAGACTTGAATAGAGACTTGAGCACAGTTCTAAAAAGAAGACATACAAATAACCAATAGGTATAGGAAAAATGTTCAGCATCACTAATCATGAGGGAAACACAAGTCAAAATCACAGTAAGATATCACCTCACGCCAGTAAGAATGGCTACTATCAGACTAAAGAAATGGGACGTGGTGGCACACACCTGTAATCCCGCTGAAGCAAAAGAGTCACAAGTTCAAGCCCAGCCTGGGCAATTTAGCAACTTATGAGATCCTGTCTCAAAACAAAAAGGTTGGGGATGCAGCACGGAGTGAAGGTCAGGGGTCAAGCTACAGTATCATGACAAAACATTAAAAAGATAAAAGACAGGAAGTGATGACAAGGATGTAGAGGACATAGAGACAAAAGAACATTAGACACTGCTCACAGGGTCAGTAACTAGGATAACCATTACGGAAAACAGTATGGTGGCTCCCCAAAAATTAAAAATCAGAACTACTATATGATCCAGGAACAGCACACACACACACACACACACACACACACACACACACACACACACACACGGTACACATCCAAAGGAAACAAAATCATTAAGTTGAAGAGACAGCTGCACACTCATGTGCAGCCTATTCAAAATAGTAAGAAATGGAAACCTAAGTGTCCTGGCATTAAAGCCAACATGGGCAGACCCAAAGATCACTACGTTAAGTGAGATAAGCCTGGCACACAGAGACAACTATCAAGTGATCTCATGTGTGAAATTTAGAAAACTTGAGCTCATAAAAGTTGCCAGTAGACTGGGGTTTACTAGTGATTGCCAAGAACAGGTGGAAGGAGGGAAGAATGGATAAAGGGCACTAAATCACAACTAGATAGCTGGGTAATTACAGACAACAGTTATATACCACAGATCTCCAAAAGCCAGGAGAGGGCTGGGGATTTAGCTCAGGAGCGTAAGCACCTGCCTGGCAAGCGACGGGTCGTGAGTATGATATCCAGTACAAAAAAAAACAAAAAGCCAGAAGAAAGGGCTGTGAATACTTTTACCAAAAAGAAATGGTAAATACTGCAGAAGAATGACATGTTTAACCATATTTAAACGTTATACAATGTATATATCTCAGTGGCACACAGTACTCCATTATATAGTTTTTAAATTCTCAGTGAAAAAAAAGTTTAAAAAACACATTGTTTAAAATGAAACTGATGCTCACAAACTAAGAGAGGGGTGGAGAGGGGGTGAAAATAAAGAATTGAGATGTATTATGTACATGTACCAGTTCCCTACAATAAATGCAATCAAAAATATACTAATAAAATTTAAAAATAAATAATACATACGATACAATACAATACAATGAATCTCACTCGCACATTCTGTAAGCACAACTTGGCTAAAATTGATGATGTGAGAAAAAAGAAAGGAAAATATCTTTGGAGGAATTTTCTTCCCATTGAGATTGACAAGCTATTTGTAAGACTACTTTACTCTCTCTTCTTTATACAGTAAAAGCTCTGGAATATCTAAGTCAAGAATGCACAAAAACAGAAAAGATACTCTCTACAAGAGACTTGGCTATTATGGTAAAGATGAGGAAAATCACAATGTAGAAGTTGCTGTTTTCAAACTAAGGCGCTACTTCAAAAGTGAAGAGTTTACTGTCCTCTATCAGCAACAGACAGATCACCTGTAGGCATTTCAAATCTTGCTTTCATGCTTCACAAAAATCCCTACAGTATCCGCTTAACTGTTTGCCTTGCTGACATCCTATTCTGTGTTTATTCTTATTTCACATGCAGCAGGGAAGCCTGAAATCAAACATGTAAGGAGTAATTTGAGAGCATTCCTCGGCTGGTATTGAGATGCATGAAGAGTCCGTGTTCATCAGGTCCTCTTATGCTAGTACTTCCCAGTAGGCATTCAAAATTTTATTTCAAGTGAATTTTCAACCATCTCTGTATTGTAAAGTATATCCATATAGACATTCTAAGCTAATATAAATCATTGAGAGTTTTTTATACTTCTGTCATCTTTAATCAACTACAGAATAAAGTTATATCACAAAAATGTCTTATACCAAAATATATAAAGGAATTTTAAATTATGTTAATATAACAAAAGTCTTTGTTGCACTTAATGTGTTTATTTTCTGACACATTATAGAATTTAGGAGGCATACCAATCC